AATCAATTCAGACAGTAGCGATTGGCCTCGAAGTATTACTACTTTTTAAACCTATAATCCAACTTAGAGAGTCATAGTATATATATATAGTCATACTCATAGTATTTATATTTTCATTTATATTTCTTCATTTACATTGAGAAATATATACTATAAAAACATCTAAAATAAAAATTTAAAATTTTTAAACAATACTAACTGAATTTCTTTTACGCCGTTTTGTGACGTCATTTAAATTGTTAACTATTTATTTGAAAAATTTAATGAACTTAAAAATTCTATATATATTTTTAAAAAATATTTAATAAATTAAACTTTGTCATTTTAAAAATAACTATTACTTTGTATGGTACATAAGTATTTAATTTCTTAAGATAATTAAATTATTTTAATTATACTTTAATTAAATTATTTTAATTATACTTATTTATTGTAATTATACTTTCTTTCGAGATCGTTTGATAATTTTCAGCAATTAATACATCTCGTAAATAAAAAATATAAAGTAATGAAATCGATACAAAGAATTCCATTTGTGTTTATAAATTATAATAAATCAATAAATAGTGTCATACCAAGATTAAATATATAATCCCAAACTGTTTAAATCTACCCATTTTAGGGCAACAAATCTATGAAAATATATCCAACAATATTTTAATAATAAATACATAAAAATGTAATATAAGTTTCACAGATTTGTTACCCCATTATAAAAAAATCACTCACCGCCCTGACGCGCAACAGCGGTGTTAATCTGCAACGTACGATGATCTGTAACATACAAAGAGAATATTCAAATTAGCAGCGCTCGAACAATAGATAGAACTTTAAAATTTTTACGTATATGGAAAACATCGTCATTATTATCCTAACAAAATTATCTTTCAAAAAAAGTAAAAAATAACGCCAAGTTCACATGTTCCTTTTCTTATTTATTAAAAGAATTTACAAAAATTTCTATCTATAAAATTCTATCTTTCTATCTTTTCTATCTTTTCTATCTTTTATCTTTTTAGTAATAAATTTTATATTGGTACAAAAGATGTGATATCAAGAGCTGGTGCAAACTTCTAATTTAATAAAATAAAAAGAACTTTATAGAGAATATGCACGTATATATATGTATATGTAGCGTATGTGTGTATCATTGTATTATTAACATGTCGTTCTAAATGCGTTATTGCGATAAATATCATCACATGCCTTTGTGGTCGAAAGGATAAGATGTCTGCCCAGTAAGCAGGAAGATCCTAGGTTCGATTCCTGGCTGAGGCAGTATTACTAGGGACTAGGGTCAAGGGACGCTTTCTCGCGCATACATATTTAGATGCAGGTTTAATGAAGTATCACGTTTAGAAAAAAAAAGATATTACTTGATCTTTTACTGAAATTTTTTATATTATATAAAATTGTTTATAATTATATAAAATTGTATAAAATTGTAAAAATTATACAGATTATTATAAAATTATATATTATAAAATTATATAGATTATTATAAAATTATATGTTAAATATAAAAATTGTTTAATTATATAGAATTTTAAATATAATTAATATTAATAACCTACAATAAAATTAATTTTTTAACAAAGTTATATTTTTGCAAATGTAAGGAAAGAAAGTATATAATAAAACACATTTATGTGTTTAAAATAAAACATTTTATTTGAAAATTACGAGCATGCTTTTTAATAGCCCCTTTTTGGTTATGTATTATATTTATATTATATTATATTTATGTTGAATAACAAACAACAAATAATAAATAATAAATAATTACCTTTAATAACAATTAATAATATTTAAATATTTACCTTACTTTACTTATCTCATCCTAGCGTGGAGTATGCCAAAATTTTAATGCCTATTATATATGTATGTCATTTACAGCCTTAGATATAACTATTGATTATAATACGCATGCGCGAAAAAGTGATCCTAATAGCAACACTGGGCTGAGGTGATATTTTTCGCAAAATAATTGCAGATTTTTACGACTGATTCGTAGCCTCGTCGTAGCATACGCCTTTCCTTCTTATCTTCTTTTTATATAACTAAGATCACCAAGTATAATTATAAAGATAATAAAATGGAAGCATGTGTACATAGTGAAGTACATTTTATTTTGTAGTTCATTTTTATTTGAAAAGTCATTTCATTATTTCTACAAAAAACATGATATCAAAAAATGGCACAAACTTTTAATTATATAAAATAGAAAAGAAACTTTGCAAAGGTGAAAAAAGATATTATCAATCCAAAATGTTAATGTCAATTGTAGTTGTCAAAAAAATTTTATTGAACTGGTACTTATGTGGTACTTATGTTTATATAAAAATAAGATATAAAAGAAAATCTGATGTGTCCTTTATAAAAAAGGAGATGTTAAGTCGATTACTCGTATTTCTCGAACTTTATTGTTGCCGCTTTTCCGCCATGTCGATTGGTTCTCTCGCGAGTGAATTAACTTCGAATTAACTTCGTGAATAGCTCACGAATAGTCATTAAGATTATGATTGCAAAAAGACAGCTCATATGTAAGAAGATCATGAGTGAAATACCGAGTGAGAAGTTATCAAATGTAATTCTAATACCGGTAATTTTCGCCCGTACAAGACGATAATGACATGACGTTGCATTTGGCGGCGCTTGGTGGACATTACAAACAAGTTACAAATTATTATTTTTATAAAATATTGTTTATTTAATTCTGATCGTAGAGCAGCCATTGCAATGTTATAAATACATTGAGAAAAAATGCTGTTGAA